GGGGGGGGGGCGCCGGGGGACAGAGATCAGAGTGATGTAGCCACGAGCCCAGGAATGCTGCAGTCACCGGAAGCTGGAAGGAGCCCAGAGCAAATTTCCCTGAGAGTCCCCGGATGGCATGTGGCCCCATAGACATGGATATCGGCCTCTGGCCTCCAGAACTGCAAGACAACACCTTTCTGTTGCTTTGAGACACCAAGTTTGGGGGCCAGCAGATGGCACAGTGGTTATGTGGCTGGACTCACACATGGCCAACCACAGTTCGAGTCCCAGACCCAGTGGCTTGAAAATCATACCAGATGCATCGATTGTGTGTGCTCAAGATCCTGAGAGGAGAATGGAGAAGGGATTGCAGGATGGCCAAGCCCCTGGAGGGTGATTTCTCACTTTCCCTCTCACTGTCTCTGTCTCTCTCTGGCAAGTGTATGCACCCTATGGCAAAAACATCTAAAACAAAACGAAACAGAACACCAAGTTTGTGATAATTTCTTATAGCAGGCACAGGACTGTGAGTCAGCCAGCCTCGGGCACCGCCAGGATCCCCACACCCGCCCAAGGCTGTAATAGGCTGGACCATGCCTCAGGCCTGGGCGCACATGCCCGAGGGGCAGCTCACCACCTGCACGGGCCGTGTGCTCCAGGACTGGGCCACCTGGTGGGGGTCACACCCTCCAGCAAAGCCCTGAGTATGGGTGAGTCAGAGGTCAGCTCTGAATCACATCATGCTGACCCGTCTCCACAGCCCGGGGCGTAGCTGTTAACCCAGTTCACGCAGCAGAGAGCTGAGCCTGGTGCTCAGATCTCCTGGTGGGTGTCTGAGGCCTCACCTCTCAGCACGTTGAGGATGAGGCTGAGCATGGCGCCCCCTGCAGGTGGCGGTGGTGAGTACAGGGTGTAGTCCCCCAAGGGCATCTCTAGGGCGTCCACCACCTCCGGCTGGAAGGCGGCCAGGTCCTGCAGGGTCAGCTGGCTCCCTGAGGCAGAACGGAGAGGACTCTGTATACAGGTGGAGAAACCGAGGCAGACAGGACTAACCACTGTCCCCAGGTCGTGCAAGGGGGGTTGCCTGAGCCCGCCATGGCCGCCAATAACCCCCCTCCATTGGCCTTAACTTGAGGGGCCTCTGCTTCTCAAAGCCCTTGACCACAGGGACCCCTGAAGGCAGAAGTGGCTGGGCTGCACTGGGCTGGGTGCATGGCCTGTCTGAGCCCCAGGAGCAGCCAGCCCCCCCACAGGGCCTGGGGAAGTCTCTGCCCTCAACACCCCGCATCCTGGCCCCAGGGCTCTGGGACCTCAGCGACGCTGACCTTCCTTGGCAGCGTCTTCCACCAGCATCTGGCCCAGCCTCCCCTTGTAGAAGGCCTCCACACCCTCCGAGGCCACGATCTCCAGGGTAGAGGCCAGCGCAGGCCACGGGAATGGGTCCTGAGACCTCAGGGGTTCTGTCCCGTTGAAGAAGAGCTGTCTGAGGGGGGTGGGGTGCAGCCTCAGGGTGGGCCCAGGTCACATTCCTGCCAGGGCTCCTGTGGGGTCCTTGGGACCCTGTGGGGGGCATCCCTGGGACACTGGGTAGAAAGATTCTCTAGGAGTTGGGGGGCAGCGCCACCCACCCTACTCACATCTCTGACCAGAGAGGGCACATCCCTTAGGTGGTAGGGAGCTGTGTCTACCCATGGCCTGCCCTCCATGTTTCCGGGCTCCTCTAAAGCCCTCCTGTCTCCCCAGAGAGAAGGAGGCCAGGGCCTGAGGCAGGTGCCAGAGTCCAAACTCCACGCCCCAGACGTGGAGCCCAGAGGTCTATGAGCTGAGAAGTACTGGCCTTATGGCCCCAGCCCCCGATGGGGTCCACCTTCTAGTGCAATGGACAGAGGTGAAGTGGGGCGCAGACCAGGCTGCCAGGCCTCGACCCCCGGAGCTGAGGGGAGCCAGGGCCACCGCGCGGCGCTCACCTCAGGGACGAGGCGTACAGGGAAGGCCGCAGGAAGTCATTTTGCAGGAACTTGCTGAGGATGAGGGGCACACGGTAGCCCCCTCGGAGCAGTGCAATGGTGGGCTGGAACAGCTGCGCCCAGGGCAGGCGGCCGTGGCGGGGGGGGGGGCCTGGGCAAAACGTAGCACCGGAGCTCCCCCGGCACCCCGATCCACTGGGCCCCTGTGTGGCATGTCCCTGTCCTTAGCCGGCCCTGTGGCTAGCAAGCCTGCTCAGGTCACCCCCACAGCTGGACCCCCAGCCATGGAGCCAGCCACGTCCCTTCCTGCTCAGACCTCCCAGGCTCCCACCACCTTCCTCCCCAGGTCCACGTGAAGGGTCCATGCAGCCAGGCACACGCTGGCCCCGGGACCCCGGCACCCACACAGCCCTGCGGGCCTTGACCCAGCCTGGCCCCTCTCCTCGGGCCGACCCTCCCGACTCAGAGGCCCCTTCTCAGGAACACTCCGCCTACCCCAGCGGATTAGGGGCTCCGCACAGGCCCTCCGGCTGCCGGGCCCCAGGACTAGGGCGTCACAGCCTATCGGGGAGACTGTGCGGAGTCCCCTTGGGGGATATTCTGGACAGCCGCCATGGCCTGGTGGGGTGGGAACGGGGACTCCTCCTGGGCCTCACCTCTGCCCAGTGGCTGGGCCTGCTCACAGCGGTCCAGCAGGCCTGGGGCGTGGCTGGCCGGCACCATCTCGCGGGCGTTGATGACTTCCACCTTGCCTGGAGTCGGGGCAGGGTGAATGAGTGAACACGGCCCCCTCGGATGGCCCCGGCCTGAGTTTCTCTCTCTGCACCGTGAGATGGCCTCTGTGCTAACACTCAGGACAGAGCCCTCCCCCAGGGCTTTGGGGGTGTGGGGGTCCCCTGCAGAGCCCCCAGGGAGGGGCCGAGGGCACACAGAGCCCCTTAGGGAGGTGGTTACCCCGTGGCCGTGGGCAAGCCCGCCCTCCCAGTGAGGGTCACCCACGGGCCCACCTGTGGTCGCATTGTAGATGGTGAAGATGACCCCTCCGCCCAGGCCCATGCTCTGAGGGTTGACCACGCCGGTGCAGACCAGAGCCGCAATGGCGGCGTCCACGGGGGAGCCCTGCTGCTGGAGGATGGCTCTAGGGGACATGGGACCGTGTCAGCAGCCCAGCCCTCTCCCCACGCTCCCCACCTGGGCTCCCTCAGCTGCACTCTCTGAGGAATGGTGGCAGGTTAGTGGCCCATCTGCTGCCACCAAACCTCAAGTTAGGTCTGAGGGGGCCAGCAGGTGGCGCAGTGGTTAAAGTGCCGGACTCCTACATGGTTGACTGTGGTTCAAGTCCCAGACCCGGCACCTTGAAACACACCAGGTATGTGTGTGTGCGTGCCTAAAATCCCGAGAGGAGAATGGAGGAGAGGGGATTCTGGCATGACCATCCCCCCGGAAGGTGATTTCTTGCTTTCTTCGCTGTGTCTGGCAAGTGCACACGCACTGTAGCAAAAATCTCTCTCAAAAAGTAAATAAGTAAATAAAAGTGGGGCCAGCAGTTAGCATAATGGCTATGTCGCTGGACTCCCATGTAGC